GGGGGGGGGGGGGAGTTTATATGTATTTGGGATTCGCAAGATTGGGATATAAGGAGATGGGTTGGTTGGTTGGGGATGTTATATATTTATATATGGGCAGTTCTTTGGAGAGATGGTTGGTAGGGGGTAGGGTAAGGGGTTATGGATGGATGGATGCCTACTATTCATGGTAGGTACGCTTCAGTTTGTGATAGGATTGTGTATGTGTGTGGATGAGATTGGTAAAATTGGTGAAGGAGGGGCATAGGGTTGCTTGCCAGCTACTCTGTTATTAGATTAGGTAGTGAGGATGAAGAGAACTCAGGTCTTTCGTCTCTTGTATATATCTACTCGGTGAAATTTTTAAAGATGTATAGACAAAATTAAAAATATTTATATTAAAAGATTGGGTGGAAGAGGCCTCTATATTGACTATATTACTACGTGTGTAGGCATATTGATCTCCTCTTAGTATCCTCTAAGGGGACCAATATGCCTGCTTATGGTTCGTCTAATCTAGCCTGTTTAGGTAACCGTATTACTAATCACGACACGTGATTAGTACCGGTAACTTCTATTCCTTTTAACAATTTATAACTTTTTCAACCTTTAATGAGATTTTATATTGTTTTTTATTTAAAGATGATCTATAGGCTATATAAATTTTATATAATTTAGAAGATTAATAAAGAAATAATATTATATCAAAATCGATGAATTGAGTGTTACGAGTTTTGCCGTCTAGATCACGTGGAAGTGCTCTAGGCTCTCGAGGTGGTTTATAACTAGGCGTCAAGCAGGGACTTAAGTAATGACAATAATGATATGCAATTTGTAACTAATAGTAGAGTATACTAAATGATTGATCTTGAGCACGAAGCTCTACAAATGGAAACCTATCCTTTATATAGAACTTCATACTCTACTATATTCCTTTGGATCTCTTGGATCTACTGGATCTAGAGTTTAACTCTCTAGATCCTCTAGATCCCCTAGATCCCTCACGTGATTTCAATCAGAACATATGTCTGTGCTTGCTGAAGGTGGGGAGACTCTATGAGTCAATTGCCATACAATTTTGCATGTGAATCGACTTGCTTTTCTACAGGGTCCAAGCTCATATGGACATGTTGACTGTTACTTCGTAACACTTTAGCGAACCCGTTGTTATTTTTAGACCCGAAAGGGCTGGAGTCAAAGCTCGTTGATCTATATTGGGTCAACCTTGTACACAGTAAGGTTTTGGTGTCGGCAAGCCGACAATAATTTTCAATTAATAATTATAATATGATATGATTAAACAAAGCCAATATATGTTCCAAAAAACGCGAAAAGCGGGTTCAAAATACGTGATTTAGAAAACGGCCGACTAGACTCTCCTGGTGGAGATATTAAAAATCACCTGACCATAGCCTCGAGAGTCAGGCACCCGCTAGACTATCCGTCTGTAATTCTTTCCGAATTTTTCTCCGGCGGTCCTTATCGAGCTCCTCTTCTGGTGTAATAGACCGAGCTCGCTTCTTTACAAATAACCGTCGAGATCGGATGATTCCCCTTTTCGCTTTGATCATTGCTGTATTTGTCTCATCAGATTCGATATATTCGCAGAAAGAACGAGCGGATATAAATAATGAATCTTTCATCGGTTCATTTACAGGTTCAAAATTTGAAACTACATCCTCCGTTGCAAAATCTTCCAGTTCAAGATGTAACCCTGCCTGCGGAGATTCGTTCCATTTACCATCTTCATAGCGAATGATTTCGTCTGTTACTGTTTGTATAGCACGGAGCTCCATCTCTCCATTCTCGTTGGGTATGGCTTGAGGCGCCAATAGATAGGTAACCTCTGTTCTCTATATCTATATAATACACATAACACAATATCACGTCGGATCAGATATATCATCAAGGCTATCGCCAAGTCTTTCGTTTTGTGTGGACGACACTTCATCACATACTGATACTGTGCATGGATGTGCGACTGCCATCAGGATC